GTTTTGACTTCGTGTGGACGGGGCCTATGATTCTGATGGTGGGTCGTTAAAGGGGGGGAGGGGATTTTTGTATAAAAAATCTGTAAAAATCTGTTATACGCAAAATCTTAAAATAAGAAAGCATGTACTTTTTTCATAAAACAGTGTTGTTTCAAAATCAGCTGCTTGTTCTATTATTTGATAAACACCCAGACTCTTGTAGTACAGGATGAACTTCACCAGTTTTTTTCTAGTTGTCAATAATCAAATCAAGCTTAGTATGTTTTAGTTTGGTTAAGAAATAAATCTAAATGATCTCATTTCTATGTTTGTCTTATGTATTTATGTTAGATTTTAAAGTACATATATTTGGAGTTTTAAGCCTTTAAATATTTTGGGAAAGATAAGATAAAGATATTGTTTATATGATGACAGAGGATGTAAGTAAAATATTTGCAAATATTTGGAAACATTTGAATGCATCCAATGAAATTTCTCATTTTAGGAGATTGTCGGAAATATCAGAATTAATAAAAGTACAAAATGTCTTTCCATGGAGTTTATTTCTCTTTGATGTTCTAATCAGTTTGTCCAGAAGACAAAGAAGATCTGACTCACAGCCCACAACATGTGTTAGTCTTTTTGTGTCAGGTCTAACATGGGTATATACTGAATGTTTGTCCCAACAGGCTGGAGGAGGGGGTTAAGGATAAGGAGATGTTAGAAAAGGAAATGTATTCACGTTTTGTCATGGTGCTGAATGAGAAGAAAGCTAAGATCCGAGGCCTGCAGGATACCGTCCGGCAGCTCAGCCACATTGACGACCAGAAAAGACTGGAAGCCGTTAGGTAAAAAATTGCTGTTTTTCGTCATAACAAAGCTACAAAATTGATGTGCCACCACTTTCTCCCCATGTCTTATTTCTACATCCACTCTTTTTCTTTTCTAACTCCTTTTGTCTGAAAGTGATGTTTTTTGAACCAAAAAGGACTTTCTCTAAAATGTGTAATTTTGCAGTGACAGCGAACCAGCTCAAAGTGAAGATTACAGTCATCCATCGCAGGATTCAACAGTCCTCCTCACAGGTTTGTTCATCAAAATTATAAACCCTAGAAAATGTAGTGAACATTTATATTCAGCCCACCTTACTGTTATACAGCTAAATAGAATCAAGTGCAGCCTATTACCATAAGATCCTTGATTAGATAGAAGTATACAGTGGGGCAAAAAAGTATTTAGTCAGCCACCAATAGTGCAAGTTCTCCCACTCAAAAAGATGAGAGAGGCC